GGGCATGAAACTTGTGTCGAGCGGACCGAACTTCAGTCAATCCTAGAAAACTTCAATTGGAATTTTTAATAAAATAAAACTCATTCTAGTGATTGACTAGGTAACGGCTTTGAAATCCCAGCTTATGAGAAGAATCGAATTTTCGAAGTAAAATCAGTGGTCGGTTCTTACAGAGACAGCCTCTTAAAGGTAACGTGCTAACAGGAGCTTTTCTTGAAAACTGAAAATTCTGTAGTCATTTTCAACACGAACGTATTAAAAGGATCGAGCGCTTGTTTCTTCAAATCAAAATGAAAGACTCGACCAGCGCACTGAGGTATTGTTACAGCAGTCAAACGTAGCAATTCATCATGAAGTAAAAACAATTTACGGTATCTGATTAGCTTTCCTGACGACCACTGTCAACATTGTTTACACATGAAGAGTACTAGTCCACCCATGTGGCAGCAACATAAATTTAATCTGGAACGAAGAATTTCATTTCATTTAAGGGCGGCTTAAATTACGAATTCCCGTCTCAGTTATTTCGTCTGAAGAGCTCAGTCACATCCACTCTATCTAATATATTAGGACCGAGTAAAGTGCAATTCGGTCTGTAATCGTACGAGTGATTAACAAAATCGGAAGACCGAGAAGAGGGAGTCCGATTTGTTAATCACGAGTATGATTACGAAAAGATTTGGACGACACGATGTTCTGCTGACAATTAGTCATAACCATTACAAATTCCTAAAAAAACAAAAACTTTCACCTGAAAAAGGCTTTTTATATGAAAAATAGCTTGAAAAACCATTACAGTTTGAAGGGTAAGTTGTTGTTGCTATAGTGATTGTAATCAATGTGGTGACTGGTGGATTTAGCTGAGACCACAACTGTCCGATTACAGCCAACTGTCCGATTACAGCCAACTGTCCGATTACAGGCAACTGTCCGATTACAACTTTGCAGGTTAATTAGTGCAAAATACAGCAGTTTATATTAATTATGCACCAATCACATTTGAGAAAATTGTAATGGTTATGATTAAGGTTGTACTCGGAGGGAATTTAAAAATTTCGTATCGGTTCAAACTATATACGTAGTGGATAAAAAATATACCTGACACCTGCCGGAGACGGATCCAAAGAAAAGT